GTAATCCCAGCTACTCAGGAGGCTGAGGCAGGAGAATTGCCTGAATCCAGTAGGCGGAGGTTGCGGTGAGCCGAGATCGCGCCATTGCACTCCAGCCTGGGTAACAAGAGCGAAACCCCGTCTCAGGAAAAAAAAAAAAAAAAAAGAACACTAAGAACAAATGGGTATAAGACCAAGCACAGTTCAGCCACTAGAACTATGTTCATTAACCACGTCATGTGTAATTGTTTTGCTTAGAATATCTGAGTGGTATATGTGGCTCTATGTGAACCTTGGGGAACCACAGGGCGAATGCCATTTAGCTAAGGACAGAACATTTAGCTAAGGACAGAACATCTAAGCCTCTGTTTCAAGGCCCCCATAGTTCTGAGGAAGCAAACCACTGGATGCAAAGGCTCCTGGTTCTCAGCCCCAGGGATCTCATTTAGTAGGTCTAGTTTATGGCCTGGGAATTGGTTATCTTTTTAAGCTTCCCAGGTGATACTGATGCACAGTCAGATATGAAAACCACTGGGATGGATGGGCCCTTCTAGCTTTGAGAGTCTAAGAGTAAGTGATTAGCAAATTAAATCCCGGTAATTACTTTTCACAAATCTCACTTACAATTCCAAAGAGGCTCTTCTGGTCTTAATACCATTTCCTTGGAGAAAGGGGTTGGGGAAGAGAGAAAGAGAGAGAGAGATCCACAGTCTGCTAGCATTCTTCTCTCCTCCACACAGAACACTGGTCATGGGGGAAGAATTCTTGAAATTTCAAAAAAGCACAAATAGTTCAAGTGGGAAAAACTTCCCTGAGACCCTTCGATCTAACCCCTTATGGTACGACAAGGTACCAAAGTTCTGAGCACCATGCTCAAACCTGGATTGTCCACCTTGAGCCCACACATGAACCAGAGTCCAATGAGCAGATGGTGTGGCTGTGGGTCACGTCTGCTAGCACAGGACATCTTCACCTAGATCAACCATTGCATAGCATGACACATTCCTACTCCCTCCTAGTACAACAGTCTATGAGGGTCTGTGTCAGATGGTGGGAACACTCATCTGTGCTCCCCACCTCATTAGGTAACAGCCCATAAAGTCCACCCCAGTGTCTGGAAAACATAGATAGGCTCAGTGCACGTTGGATTAAGATAACAGCTGGTCAGGCTATAGGGGAGCAGGGAGGGTGCTGCATCCACACACTGAGTATCTTCAGCTCTGGAAGAAGGACCGCCAACACTTCCCCTTCTGGTCTCCAAGATGTGTGTTCCTCTGGGTCTCAGGCAGGAAAAGCCTCGTGCGAACTAGTGGCCAGGCCTGTGCACTAAAGGGTGCTAGTCTTGGCCCAGTTATCAGACAATCTCATAGGGTCCCACAAATAAGAGCTGTCTGAAAAGCTCAGTGCCACACAACACCTGACAATTCTGAGTGTACCATTCACTGAGCACCTCTGAGGCCAGGGGTGGAACTGGACATTTTATGTGTATTTCCTAATTTCATTATTTCTGCCCACCTTGTGGGAGAGATGTCATTACTTTTCCTTTATAGATGAGGCTCCGAGGGCTAAAAACACTGGCTGTGAGGCATTGATAGAGCTGGGACTCGAACCCAGGCATAAGCAGGGTTGACTTACAGAGGCCCTTGAGGTGATGTTATAGATTCAGATTTGATTCCAAGAGCTATGGGGGTCACTGACAGACTTATGGCCCTAGACTTGCATTTCAAATAGATTCTACTGGCTGGAGTACGGAGAAGAAAGTGGAATGGATGCAGACAGAGATCTATCACTAAGTTTCTTAAAAGAGGGGGTAGGAGGGGTGAGTAGAGAGATCAGTCAGAGAAAGAAGAAAATCAGGGTGCTGGTACTGTCCCAGGGCCTGAAGGTTAATGAATTTCTCCATCAGAAGGTGCTCTTAAAATTCAGATTCCTGGGCCTAACTCAGATATGCTCTGGGAAAAAAAAATACCTAGAAATTGGCATTTTTCAATAATTTAAGATCAAGAGCTCAGGCCCTGGATCCAGAGTGCCTTTACTTCCCCCCAGCTCCATCACTCCCTACCACCGTGACTCTGGACAAGAGAGTTGCCCTTTTGTCAGACTGGGCACCATGCTAGTCTCTGCTCCATGTGGAAGTTATATGGGTAATAAATCAGTTAACACATGCAAACTCCATAAACTAATTCTAGGCCATGAGTAAGAACTCAATTAGTATCCAAAGACTTCTGAAGGGGGGCATTGCTGATTAAATATCAGCTGGTGGAGCCTCAGTTTCCATGACATCTCTGCAGAGATGCTTTAGTTGCGGGCCTAATCTGGGGCTCAAGAAATCCTACTGAAGGCGAGGCCAGCCCCAAGACTTGGTGGTATCTCCATTAGCTATGAGATTTACCAATATCTACTTCCTCCCATGCAGATTCAGGCATAAAGGCAGCATCTTAACTGTCATGTGTTGCACTGTATCCTCTAAAAGAAATCCTAACTCACTGATACCTGTGAATGTAACCTTATTTGCAAATAGGGTCTTTGCAGATGATTAGGTGGAAATAAGTTCATTGGGGTTGTCCCTATTCCAATATAAATGGTGTCCTTAACAGAAGGGAAGATTTGAACACAGTGTAAAGAAGGAAGACAATATGCAGACACAGGGAGAATGTCATAAATAAGCCAATGCCTGGGGCTATGAGAAGCTAAGAGAGAGGTCTGAACAGATCCTTTTGCACAGCCCTCAGAAGGAACCAAACAGGACGACACCTCGATCTTGGACTTCCAGGCTCAAGAGCCAATGAATTTCTGTAGTTTAAGCTAACAAGTGTGTGTTTGTTTCAGCAGATCCCAGAAATAAATATGTGCAACAACCTAGAATGGGCAGTAACTGAAGCTCTAGAGTTAGAAAGCTGAGTGACAGCTCCCGAGAAGCAAGCCCTGCATTCCTGAAATCTGGATCCTGTAATCCAGCCTGCTGAGCATCAGGTGAGGCCGCGGCCCTCCAGAGACTGCAGAATTGCTACTGATGGGGAGGAAACAGCTGCTCAGTTCTCCCCTCACCTGTTCACCTTCTTGAGTGAACTTCTTCGGGGTGTGGGGGAGGTGGGGGAGGATGGGAGTATAAGGACAATGAGTACCACTAGCCCCTCCCTCACCTGTGAAGCTGTGCAGTTTGTTCCTGATGACTGAAGGGTACTCAGCAGCCCGGGTCCAGTGAATGCTGAAAAGCCTTTGGCAACCATTTCTCTGCAGCACAATCCACACAGAGCAGCAGCAAATGGTACCATGAATAAAGATACAAAAGCTCTCCCCTCCAGGACTTTGGCTTTTATTACATTGAAAGCAGTTGGTTTTCAACAAAGTCTTGGCAAGTCTATGTCAGCTCTGACAGGCTGATGAAAGCTGGGGTGTCTGCATGCTTGGCAGAGGGTAAGTTCCCAACCCCACCCTGGCTAGGTGGGGATAGGGGACTCTATGACAGACGGAGCCCCAGAACCTGGGCGCTGAACAGTGGGAAAGTTTGGCTATGCCCTGGGACTTGCACACCTCAGGAGATTCTCTGAGCCTGAAAACCCACGAAGGAGAAACTCTGAGACCCCTAGAAGGCTGCTCAAGACCCCTCATGATTCTTCCTTAACCATAGTCCAGCCTCATCTCCCTCTCTGTTGCTCTGGGCTCCAGAAATTCCAAGTAATCGGTTGTTCCCCGAGTTTAAATCTGTCTCTATCACATAGCTGCTTCATGAGCTTGGTTTCTACCTGTGTGAAATGGGGAAACGAATATCAATTCTATGTGGCTACTCTAAGAATTACATGAGATAAAGTGCCTTCAGGGTGCCCAGCACACAGTCAGCATTCCATGGTAGCTAGTACTAATCATCAATAACTCATTCATCCATAATCTGAGTCACCCACAAATAACTGCCAACTGCCAACAGATTTACCAGTAATCAACAGAGCAGTAATAGGCTCCTTCATCCTAGTTTTTCAATTGATTCCAAAACCCTAGCCATGACACTGCAAAATACTAAAGAGCAATTTTTCTGGTGTCTAGTTTAACTTAGATTTGGCATGTCTTGAAGCCCCAGTTCTATGGGACGGGAGGGGTCCTAACAGCAGTGCAGATCAGATGAAAGAGGGCCAGGAGGGGCACTCCACCTCTCCTCCACCAGACACATACACAGAGCTACAATTCAAGGCTTTTGTTAGTTCATTTCTTCCTCTTCTCTCTGAAGAATTGACTTCCCTAAGCCCATGGCTCCAAAATTACAGGTGTATGATTCAATTAACTTCAGCATTGCAGGAATCAGCAGCCACTTGGAAAGATCTTTGTAAGTAATTCTATTCTCCCTTGTCTTTATTACAAATAACAGTAATCAGTGAGAAATGCAATCTCCACGGCTTCCAATCTGACTTCTGTCTTTAACTCTCTTTGAAACCCTAGCTATCTTCTATGTCTTAGGCTACCGCAGACCCAGGTCCTGCAGATAAGGGGAGGGCCCTAGAACTCGGGGTTGCACTGTGCCTTTTGACTCAGGTCAGAGAACAGCCATTTCCAGGCTCAGTGGAGCTTTTTGCCTTTCACATCTTCTGAGAAAGTGCACACATATCTCTGAATTTCCTCAACAACTTCCCTACCTGCTACCTGACATCATCAACCATTTTTAGGAATAGAAGATGGTACTGAAATATATATTTCTTTAACTACTACCACCATATAGTACATAATCCTTAAATGAGTAATTTTGTGCCTTGACTCCACTTTCTGCCACCAAATGAGTCACCAGGTCCAAAGGGCCTGGATGGCCAAGGCAGGCTGCCCATCCTGTGCTTGGACTTTAATCAAGACCAGGGTGCAACTTACTACTCACAGAGCTGGAGATGCAGCAGCCTTTTTCAGGTAAAGGGTAAAAATTCTCCAGCTTTTGAGGCCCCACCAGGGCAACCTTCAGCCAAAGAAATGTCTGGCCAGAGCAAGGATCCAGTCACTCCTTTGAGAGGCCCCCTTTGCCACTCCTCTACGGAGATTTATACCCACCTGGACTCAGCCAGCTCCCCTGGAGACAAGGCTCTGTGTCTGCCTGTCCAAGAGGTAGCAACAAATGGCAACAATGACTACACATTCCTGAGGCTCTGGGGGTAAATATAAGGTTGATTTTCAGGATCAGCTTCCCAGATTGCCAGGCTGGCTTCAAGACTGCTTGCCCGTTGATTCTCACACCTTCCTTCCAACTTCTGCCTGTTGACATTCAGCTCAAACTCCAAGGCTCATCTTATCTGCCACCTTCTGTTTCCCCTCCACTTCTGTTGCCACCTCCTTTGTGAAGCTTTCTTGATTCCCCTGGGATAAGTCAGTGATCCTTCTCTCAGCTTCACATGGAGGAATATCCCTTCATTCTGTCCTTTAGCAGAACATACTGAAATTATTTTTGTTCATGGGCCTTTTCACGTGGCTATAAGGTGCTCTAAGGTGGGGACCCTGTCCTTCCATTTGTGACTCCACAATCTAGTCCAGGGCCTGGCACCGAGCAGTCTTTAGCAAATACCATATGCTCACTATTCACAGAAAAGCAACCGTACTAGTAATACAGAGCGGAAACTTTCAGCTGGGCAGTGACGAATAGGACCACCAACACTGTTCTTTCATTTTTATACTTGAGAGCTGCCACATGTCCTCCATTTATTCAGGTCACATCCACAAGAATGCATCATTTCCCAGTGGCTGGAGTGGGTGACTGTTTTTTCTTATTCTAGCAAGCTTTTCTGTAATGGATGATAAGCAATGACTTCATGATAACACTTCCTCCCTCTGGGGTAGCATTTGGATGCCTTTCCTGATGTATCTTTATATGTACTACCTCCCTCAATTTGTGACACCCCTCCAAAAATAAGAGCATTTTCATTTTTTAGATGAGGAAACTGAGGCCCAAGAAGTGAAGCAGCTATATCCAAGGTCACGTGGAGAGCTAAGATAAAGTCAAAATGAGGCTTCTACTCCCTGCCTTCTTCTTACACTTTCTGTAACAATAGTTTGCCTCTCCTTGATCAAAGTGACATATCATCCAGACATAAAATCCATGTGCATTTTTCACGTTTCTCCAGCCTTTATCTGATCTGCTCATAAAAGTACCCACAGCAGACTGAATACAGAACTGCGAGTATTTCTGGGGTGTGTTTCAGTCCTAGCAACTTTTTATATAATCTATTCAAATTAACTCATCAACCTATTTTATGACAATAAGTTAAGGCTTTCTATTTACCTTAGTAATACCTACTCACAATAATTTCAAATTAATTCAGACACACACACACAGTGTCTCTCTCTAATAGTTTTTATGATGACACTTGGCATAAATGAGGATGAGATACCTAATGTGGCACGGGACCAAGGCAGAAGCAGAGGATACTGGGGTAAGAAGGGAGGGGACTAAATAGTGGAAAAGAGGAATCAAGGGGCAAAATTGTAGTGAGACCATGGGTACAGGGGTCCTGGGAGAGCTTACATGTTGTGCTAAGGCACTGGGCTTTATTTTCTAGCGTGGAGAGCCATGGAATCATACAAGCATATCATGTTAGATTTGGGACTCTCAGAGATGATCTGGTCCACTCATCCCTTTTACAGAGGGACACATTAAGACCCAGAGAGCAGATATGACCTGCCAAAAATCACAGAGTGGGTTATTGCCAAGAGAAATGCATAATCAGAGCTCTGATTCAGTAAGTCCTCAGGTAGTAGCATGGAAGTGGATTAATCTGCAGAGAGATGGAGGATGTGGATGCTGCTAACGTACCTTGGCAACAAGCTCGTGCACTTACAGAAAGAGAGGCAGAGAGGGGTGAGAAGGACCCCTAAAGGAGAGGCAGGTGAAGAGGAGCAATCCAACATTCGCTGAGGTCCACCTGCGGTCCCACTCAGAGTCAAGCTCTAGACCAGGAACTTACAGCTGTATTGTCTCCTTTTACAGCCTTAACATCCCAGTGAGGGATCATGGACTCCCTTGCAAAGGAGATTTGAGATTCAGAATCATTTGATAACTTGCCTAAGCCTAAACCTGGTTTTGAATACAAGTCACTAGAACACCAAGACCCAACCTCTTTCTGCTCAACTGTGACTTCTTTAATTTTCAAAGGTTCTGCTAAGATCTAGAGGAAATGAACAGGGAATGAGGCCCTCCACCCAGCCACCTGCCAAGTCACTAACGGACTCTCCTGTTCTTACTCCTCCCTGTCTGCTGCCTATCCCTGCAGGAAGGGCAAAGGGATACTTCCTATACTTTTTTTTTTTTTTTGCCAGAAAAGAAAAGCCAAGTGCCCACTGTGTGAAAGGGTTGGGGGTAGACTGAGTGACTCATAGCCTCTGAACGTCCTCATTTGCTCAGCACCTTCCAGGTTTAGAAGACAAAGTCTATATTCACAACATTTCTCGTCCACTCATTACAAACAAGTGTTCATCCAAGCCCAGTAAAACACACAGCAATCCATATAAAAAACCCAAGCCCAGCTATTTTCATAGAACCTGAATTTTAGAGCTATTTGGCTTTTTTTGTCAGGCCTCAAGCTTCCAAAGTTCCCTTCCCCTTCCAGAAGGATCACTGATTTATCCCAGAGGAATCAAGAAAGCTTCACAAAAGAGGGGACAACAGAAGTGGAGGACAGACAACAGAAGTGGACACAGACACGTGAGTCAGTGGACTGGGCGAGGAAGCCCCACCATCAATGTGGGTGGGCACCATCCAATCAGCTGCCAGCCCAGGTAGAAAAGCAGGTAGAAGGGAGATGAGCAGCTTGACGAGTCCTCTTGCTCCCTCTTCCCATGCCAGGTGCTTGCTTCCTCTCCTCTTGCCCCTGGACTCAGACTCCAGATCTTTAGACTTTGGACTCTGGGACTTGCACCAGCAACTCCTGGAGGCTCTCTGTGCTTCAGCCTCAGACTGAGGGCTGCACTGTTGGCTTCCCTGGTTTTGAGGCTTTTGGAGATGGACTGAGCCATGCTACCAACTTCTCTCTTTCCCCAGCTTGCAGATGGCCTGTTGTGGGACTTTGCCTTGTACTCACGTG